CCTCTCAAATTAAAAATAAAATTAAAATATTTTGAATGTAGATGTTTGGCCTAGTGTTTAAGATGTGTTTGGGGTGCCCACATCCCACATTGGAGTGCCTGGTTTGGAGTCCTGGCTCTGCTCCCAACTCCAGGTTCCTTCATGTGAGGCCTTGGGAAACAGCAGGTTGGGTCCCTGTCACTCATGTGGGAGACCCAGGTTGAGTTCCTGGCTCCCAGCTTTGGCCTGGCCCAGTCCTGGCTATTGTAGGCATTTGGTAAGCAAACCAGCAGATGGAAGATCTCTGTCTCTGTCTCTCAAATACTTAAAAAATGTTGAACATGTCGTGTTTAAGTTGTATGATACATTCAAATACAGACAGCAACAAGGAGGTGGATGTGTGACTTGAGATCTCAAAAAATAAGTTTTTTTTTTTCAGTTGAATAAGGTTATTAAGTTTTATTGCCATTATAATTTTTTTTAACTTTTATTTAATGAATATAAATTTCCAAAGTACGACTTATGGATTACAATGGCTTCCCCCCCATACCGTCCTTCCCACCCACAACCCTCCCCTTTCCCACTCCCTCTCCCCTTCCATTCACATCAAGATTCATTTTCGATTATCTTAATATACAGAAGATCAGCTTAGTATACATTAAGTAAGGATTTCAACAGTTTGCTCCCACACAGAAACATAAAGTGAAAAATAATAGATGATTTTTTTTAAATGATGATGAAATCAGATCAGACCTATTGTCATGTTTAATCCCAGTGAGAGTCAAGTTGGGAGTTGATAATTTCTTTTTTTTTTTTTTTTACAGAGGATCAGTTTAGTATACATTAAGTAAGGATTTCAACAGTTTGCACCCCCATAGAAACACAAAGTGAAATATATTGTTTGAGTACTCGTTATAGCATTAAATCTCAATGTACAGCACATTAAGGATAGAGCTCCTACATGAGGAGTAAGTGCACAGTGACTCCTGTTGTTGACTTTACCAATTGACACTCCTGTCTATGGCATCAGTAATCTCCCTATGCTCCAGTCATGAGTTTCCAAGGCTATGGAAGCCCTCTGAGTTCTCCGACTCTTATCTTGTTTAGACAAGGTCATAGTCAAAGTGGAGGTTCTCTCCTCCCTTCAGAGAAAGGTACCTCCTTCTTTGATGACCTGTTCTTTCCACTGGGATCTCACTCGCAGAGATCTTTTGCCAGAGTGTCTTGGCTTTCCATGCCTGAAATACTCTCATGAGCTTTTCAGCCAGATCCGAATGCCTTTAGGGCTGATTCTGAGGCCAGAGTCCTATTTAGGACATCTGCCATTCTATGAGTCTGCTGAGTATCTCACTTCCCATGTTGGATCACTCTCCCCTTTATTTACTCCATCGGTTAGCGTTAGCAGGTACTAGACTTGTCTATGTGCTCCCTTTGACTCCTAGTCCCTCCACCATGACCAACTGTGAACTGAAATTGATCACCTGGAACAGTGAGATGGCATTGGTACATGCCACCTCGATGGGATTGAATTGGAATCCCCTGGTATGCTTCCAACTCCACCACTTGGGGCAAGTCAGCCTGAGCATCTCCCAAATTATACATCTCACTAAAACCATGAACTTGGCATGTTTAATACCTCTTCTTCAGGTATACAGAACTGAGTACCATCATCTTGGAGAGAGAAGCAAGTCCAGGGAAGACATGTGAGCAAATCTGACATATCAGAAGCAGATTTGTGCAGAATCAGCAAATAGACAGGAATAGCTGAAAATGTAGGGAGGAAGACTGGGATTGTGAACCACTAAGAACAGGGTGCGTGATCAGCCTGTGGAAAAACTGGCTTAAACCATCTCAGCTTAGTAATCGAGTTTTAAGTCATGTTGAGAGGGTGAAAGTTGGACAGGAGTTGATTAAGGAGGCGAGAGTAGCAAAAGGCAGAAAGTGCACACTTCATTCGAACATTTCTCTGAATGGTGAGCTGAGAACAGTATTGTAGCTGTAGGAATATTTGCAGTCCATCCATGACTTTGAAAAGAATGATAAACATTGGAGCAGGTTTGCCGATTGACAGGGGTTGTCCTGTGGAAGGACTGGTCATGACTCAGCAGACAGCAGCAATGAGTGACAGGGCTTTCAATGTGGTCAGCATGAAACGTCGTAATCCATAGCTGTACTTTGGAAATTTATGTTCATTAAATAAAATAAAATAAAAAAGTGAATTCATGCAAGAAAAAAAAGTAATATCATAAAAGAGGAGTGAAGGGACTTAGGTAGTTGGAAATGTTTTTGTTTTTCATTTGAAATGGTAAAATTACTAATTCTCCACAGATGGTGTGATGTGTGAACCATATATTGTAAGCACTAGAACAATTAGAAAGATGGTATGCAGTCTACAGAAAGGAAAATAGGAGTTATTGTAATCAGAATGGCAAGAGGAAAAAATAAAATGGAGTTCTCTCTAATACAGGCATGTATTTTTCAAGAGGATAGGAAATTAAAATAATGAACAGATGTGTTTGGCACATTTTTAAAAATATCAGTTTATTTGAAAGGTAGAGAGAGGGAGAGACAGAGAGAGAGAGTCCACCCTGAAAGTAAGGGATTCTAGATCTCCAGGTAAATCAGCTGTAATCACATAAGTCTTTTTTTTTTTTTTAATGTACTTATTTTGAAAGGCAAGGAGGGGCTGGCGCTGTGGCGCTGCGGGTTAACGCCCTGGCCTGAAGTGCTGGCATCTCATATGGGCGCCAGTTCGAGACCCGGCTGTTCCTCTTCCGATCCAGCTCTCTGCTATGGCCTGGGGAAGCAATAGAGGATGGCCCAAGTCCTTGGATTCCTGCACCCACGTGGGAGACCCAAAAGAAGCTCCTGGCTCCTCGCTTCGGATCGTCACAGCTCTGGCTGTTGCAGCCATCTGAGGGAGTTAACCAGTGGATGGAAGACCTCTCTCTCTGCCTCTCCTCTCTCTGTGTAAATCTGGCTTTCAAATAACTAAATCTTTTAAAAAAATAGGGGAAGGAGATAGAAACAGACAGACAAAGAGATCTGTCATGCATTGCTTTACTCCTCAAATGCCCACAGCAATTACAGGGCAGAGCCAAAACCAGGAGTCTGGAATTCAATCCAGGTCTCCCATATGGGTGATAAGGACCCTGTTGCCCCCCAGGGCCTGCATTTGAGGAAGCTGGAATCGGGAGTTGAGCCAGGACTTGAATCCAGACAGTTTGATATAGGATGTAGGTGCCCCAAGTGATGTTTTAACCACTGCGCTAAATGCCCTTTTCTACTTCCCTTTGATAATCTCTTAAAAGTGGAACATTGCAAAGAGTTCACTGGGGAGATATAGCAGAGGAAGAGAAAGTAAGAGAGGTTTGAAGCATGAGGGCTCAACTTACTGTTTTGGAGGGGCCAGATGAGGCACAATGTCTATGTCCAGCTAACAGCCACCAAAGAAATAAGGCGTTGGCTCTCTGACTACAGGACAATGAATTCTCCCAACCACTTGAATGATCTTAGAGTTGAGTTTGAGCAGGGAATACAGCCCTGTTGACACCACTGTGTCAGGCTTGTGAGATATTTAGTAGTGAAAACAGTTGAGCCACAGTATGCCCAGACTTCTAATGTGTAGCGTTCATGAGACAAAGTGTTGGGTTAAGCCACTAAGTTTGTCTTACTTTATTATGGTAGCAGCAAAAACTAATACAGATTTTGTTTTCTGGAAGCCAGGTGCTTCTGCAACAGACAGGTAAAACTATGGAAGTGGCCTTGGGAGCAGGCTGTTGGCTGAGGCAGGAAGAATTTTCAGGATTATGGCAGTAAAAGCCTAGAGGACATTAAGGATACATTTGGTGGGACTTTAAAAAGGGAATGAAGAACACGTTTTTGGAAACTTGAGGAATAGGGAGCATTGCTATATAGTGAGAAAGAGATTGGCAAAAATCAGCAGAACTTTGAACTGATGGCCTTGGTTAGTAACTCAATGTTTCCAAGCAAAATGTTGAGGACGTTGCAGTGTGTTAGTCTCCTTTGGCTATCATAACAGAATGGCACAGATTTAGGTGGATTAACCAGCATTGATGTCTCATGGTGCTGGAGGTTAAGATGTCCAAGACTGGGTCTGCAGGGTAGGTTCCATTCTGAGGCTCCTTTTCCCGGCCATCAGCTCTTGGAGCTTTTGCATGGCTTGTGATGTGTGAGCTGGTGGGCAGAGGGCGCTCTGTGGTGTATCTTCTTTGGAGAACACTAATCCTATGGATCAGGGCCCCATCCTTATGACCTCCCCTACCCCTAATCACTTCCTTACTTGAAATTACAGACATACAGAGTATTAGAGCTTCAGTGTCTAACATCTGTTTTTAGCACTAAGAGGCACAACTATTCAGCCTGTAACACTTGCCTTCTTGGAGATTATCATAAAAGGTGAGAGGAGAGAAACAAGTTGAGGAGAAAACTATGAGGTAAAACACAACAGGGACTTAATGATGTTGGAAGTTCTCAGCTTCTCCAGAGGGCCAAAGATTCTAGAATCAAGAGGTTGGTGGGGAAAACACTGCAGAAGGGATCCTCTCTGAAACCTGGACGCACTAAAGACCATCAGATTCAGTGACAGGAATGACTCTTTGAGACTAGGGGTTGACTTACAGATGCCCTCTTTCAAGCCCGGGTTCTTCTAGACACCTGAAGTATGTATTTCCTCATCCATCTCTGTAGAAGCCAGACACAGAGAAAAGAGATTTCCTAGGAAATATCTGTAAAGGCATCTTGGGTAATGGAGTGAAACTATGAAATTCACACAAACCTACAGGATTCTTGAGAATCTGATGTCCATATAATGCTGTCAGTTTAGACAGAAAAGGGCAAAGAGTGAAATGAAATAGGGCTGTTTGATCTACACACTCTCCTGGAAGATAAAACTAATAAAATAGTCAGTGGCAGCAGGTGCATCCTTTCAGAAAAAGAGAAGGGTGACTCAAAGGGCAGAATAGGGAGGGAGCCAAATTGTGGAATTGAGAGCCCAAAGCATGGAGCTGAACACCATGGAGGACTTTTCCAAGGCCTTCACCCGAGGTATTTTGCCTCCTTTTGACCTTTGACCTTGTCTTGCCTTACATTTTCACCTTGTTGGAACTGATATGCTTTTTACTGGAATCCCCAACTTGTGTCTTTGATTTCATAGATCTGCAGCCAGAGAGAAATTTTCTCAAGGGTTATAATTAATGGATTACTTATCCAAATTTGATTTAGAGGAGAAACTTTGGACTTTGGAGGAGGTAAAATTTAGATGAAAATCTTTGCTTTGAGTTAATGCTGTAATGGGGTGAGACTCTTGGGAACACTGGGAGGAGTGTGAATGTATTTTGCTTTGGGAGGAATTTGAATCTTGAGGGTCAGAGAGCAGAGTCTGGTAGACATGATTTTAGAGATGTTCCCTTAATCTTCTTGTCTTCTGGTTATTCAATTAAGCATGAATCCCGGTGCAATTTAAAAGGGACTTTGCAAGACGTAGTCGAGATGTAATCTGCTAATTTTAAGTTAGGGAGTTTATCCTATATTATCTGTATAGGCCTAGTATAATTACATTAGTCTTTACAAACAGAAGAGCAAGACAGAGTTACAGAGATTCGGCAAATGGGGAATTTGGAGAGACTGAGAGCATGAGAAGACTCTGACCCGCGGTGACTGCAGGGCTTGCTGAGCAGGAATGCAGTTGCATTAAGGAGCTGGTAAGTGTTCCTGGTTAGCAGCAAAGAAATAGGGACTTCGGCTCCATTGCTGAATTCTTCCAACAACCTGAATGAGGTTGGAAGGTAATTCTTCCCTAAGACCTTCATAGAGAAAGACAACCCCACTAACATCTTGCTTTCAGCCTTCTGAAGCTTAAGTGGAGGAACTAGATGAGTCACAACATCCAGACTTCTGAGCCACAGAAATATGATCTAAAAAATGAGTGTGATTTGCTGTAGCAGTTGATAGGAAACTGATCTGATAAAGCAAAAAGAAACAGTTGGAAAGAAAAATGGTGAGCATAGATACAACATATTAATAACTACATTAAATGTAAATGGTCTAAACACACCACTGAAAAACAGAGATTGCCAAATTGTATATAAAAGAAAGACCCAAGTATATGCTGTCCGCAGAAAACTCACTTGCAATGTAATTTTGTTAATAGGTCAAAAATAAAAGGATGGAAAAAGACACACTTTACAAACTCAAAACAAAGGTTTGTTTGTAGATAATAATATAGAATAAAATAGACTTCAAAGCAAGGAAAACTACCAGGGGGGAAAAAAGGATATTATAGAATAATAAAAGAGTCAGTTCCCCAAGACTGAAAATGTTTGTGGGTTTTTTACAATAGATCTTCACAACATGTGAAAGAAGAACTGAAAGGAGAAAAAATATGCAGTATTATATTTGGGGAATTCAACATTCCTTTGTCACTAATTGATGGAACATATATACACAGACAAAGAGAAAATGCAAGTGGAAAGCCTGAATGAATCATTAATCAGTTTGCCCAGTTGACATTTACAGAGTATTTTATCCAACCATGACAGACTGCTTGTCCTTATCAGATATACCTGGGATATTCACCATGATATACCACAGAATCACAAAAAGCTTATTAAATTAAAAATGGAAATTAGTGAAATTATGTTGGACTATAATTGAATCATAGTAGAAATTAATAAGCAAAAAGGTATATTTCAGTAACAAATGTTTGAAAATATTAAATAATGTAAACACCATTCCAATAAGTAATCCATGGGCCAATGAGAAAAGGCAGAGGAAAATAGGGAATATTTTAAATTGAAATAAATAAATATTCAACATACCAAAATGCTTATAACATAGCTAAAACAATTTCAGAGAGGGATTCATTATGTTAAATAATTATTTAACAAAACACTCTCAGATCAATAACTTGAGCTTTTACTTTCAGAATCTAGAAAAAAGAGGAGAAAACTTGAAGTAAGCAAAAGGAAAATATCAAAAAGACTAAATAGAAAGTCTTTCCAATTCAAAAGGGACGAACATCAGAGGAAAATCAGTGGAACCAAATGCTGATTCTATGGGGAAAATCAACAAAACTGATAAAGTTTTAGCTAGATTGAACAAGTAAAAATAATGAATAAGTGGATTATAAACATCAGAAATTGAAATTGTGGGGATAGTGCTTGCAATGCTGGAATCCCTTATTGGAGTGCCAGTTGGAGTCCTAACTGCTCCACTTCTGATCCAGCTCCCTGCTAATGTGTGTGGGAAAGCAGGGGATGATGACCCAAATGCTTGGATCCTTCTACCCATGTATGATACCAGGATGGAGTTTCTGGTTCCTGGCTTGGGCCTGGCCCAGACCTGCTTGTTGTGGCCATTTGGAGAGTAAACCAGTGGATGGAAGGTCTCTCTTTATCTCTCTCTCTCTTTCTTCCTTCCCCCCATCTTTCAAATTAATTAGATAATTAATTAATCATAAAAAGAAAGGAAAACATGGCTACAATTACTGATTCTGGAATCACTAAAGCAGGAAACTACAAAAGTTCCATGCATGAGATTTTGACATTTAGATGAAAGAGATCAATTCCTTGAAATACAGACACTACAAAGAAGAAGTGATAACCTGAGGGGCCTACATATATTATGGAAATCAGACTAGTGGTTAAAACTCTTCAAAGACAAAAAACTGTAGGTGCAGCAGGGCTAGGATTTAGGGTAAGGAATTGGATAGTAGGCAAATCAGGGCTGGGAAGAGTATGGTCCAAACAAAGGATTATTGCACCCAGGGGAAAGTATTGCACCTGATAGCAGAAGTGGGAAGGAATCCTGACAGTAGCTCTGTTTTGGTCACAGTTGTCCCATGCACAGTGAATACTAGGTGATATTTCTCCAGTGGACCACTAAGGACATGCAGGTGGGGAATGTAATCAGAGTTGCATTCAAGAAGATCTAGGTGATCTTTGGAGAGGGAGTCTGAGAGGACCACATGTCCTGTGTTGAAGGAAGGGCTGGGGCAGGCAGTTAAGAATGCCTGCATCCCAATCAGAGTAGCAGTGTTTGGTCAATGGCCAGCCTCCAGTTCCAGCTTTCTGTGAGTGCAGACCCTGGGGAGGCAACAGGTAATGACTGGAGTACTTGGGTCCCTGCTGCCCATGTGGAAGCCCTAGATGGAGTTCCCAGCTTATCATCTGGCCTGAGGCAGCCTGGCTGTTTGGGGCATGTGGGAAATACAACAGCGAATGGAAGATCTCTGGCTGTATGTCTCTGTGTCTCTTTTCCTCAGAAATAAATATGCAAAAGTACTCAGGGGAAAAAGGGCTATGTTACATGTATTACATCACTGAAACAGTGCCTTTGTGGAGGGGAAGGATTTTTGACTTGCAAGTTGTTGTGCCCTGGTAGACAAGACAACCCTCTTCCAGAACTGAGTGGTTCTCTGAGCTCCTGTGTTCCAGACTACAGTGAAATGTCGTCAGGCGATAAACGCGGGCATCTCATTGTACTCCAGAATTTTAGTTCCAGTGTTGTCCCTTTCCATAAGGCTAACTGGTTACAGTTAACGCATTGTCATTATTCTTGTAGCAATGCTGTTGATCTTGAAAGACTACAGTGCTAGAACACTGCTAACCTACTTTGTACTATCCAATTGTGCAGTCCCTTAGTAGCCACTGGATTATTGGTTCCAGGAACCCCATGACACCAAAATCTGTAGATTCTCAACTCCCTTGTACAAAATGGTGCAGTATTTGAATATAACCTGTGAACATTCTCTGGTATACTTTAGACCATCTCTATATTACTTGTACTACTCAATACTGTGTAGGTGCTGGGCAAACAACAAATACTGTGCAGGTGTTATATAAATAGATCTTTGTAAAAATTAAGAGTGGGGATATGAGAGGGAGGAGGAAGAAGGGTTGGAGCATAGCAGGCGGGAGGCAGGATTTGGTGGGAAGTATCACAGTGGTCCTAACTTTGTATATAGGAAATACATGAAACTTGTATACCTTAAATAAGATTTTAAAAAAAGAAAAACATCTGTGTATGTTCAATGCAGATGCAATTTTTTGAACAAATATTTGTGATCTGCTTGAATCTGTGCTTGTGGAATTTGGGAATATGGAGGGCTAACTATACTTTGTGCAGCATTCTACTTATTTTCGCTTCTTGTTACAAATCTTAGCAACTGTTCTATCTTTTGTAAAGGTAGCTCTGGACAGGGAGAAACAAAAAATTGAATTTTTGAAGTTAGCCATAGTACCTGTAGTATAAACATTTTTCATGTGATTCAAAATGGAGAATTTCCCAGTTATCAAATTGTTCTAACAAACTCTACAGTTTTGGGCAAGTAAGGAAAATACAAGATGATGCTCTTCCAAATATGACAGATACTAAAGAATTTTTATTAACTTTCTATGGTAATTTATGTTTTTCCATATTCCTGATCTTTATATTATGAAATATTGTGGATCAAATATCACCATATAAAAAATTGTACGATTTCAACAAAGTACTTGGAATATTTATTTATTTATTATTATTTTTCAAAGATTTATTTATTTATTTGAGAAGCAGAGTTACAGGCAGACTGAGTGGTCTTCTGTCTACCCGTTCACTTCCTGAGTGGCTGAAACGGCCAGAGAAGGACTGATCCAAAGCCTGGAGCTTCTTCTGGGTCTCCCATGCGGGAGCAGGTGCAGGGGCCCAAGCCCTTGGGCCATCCTCCACTGCTTTCCCAGGCCATCAGCGGGGATGCTGGATTGGACAGGAACTGGCGCTCATATGGGATGCCAGTGCTTCAGGGGGAGGCTTGACCTACTATGCCCCAGTGCCGGCCCCACTTGGATTATTTAAATGATACTGTGTTTTAGGTGTGTTTTATGGGGAGAGAGAGAGAGAGAGAGAGAGAGAGAGAGAGAGAGAGAAACGGAGAGAGAAGGAGAGAGAGAATGGGGGAGATGGAGTGGAGAGAAGCCTCATCCACTGGTTCACTCCTTAGATGTCCGCAGCAGCAACTGAGGCTGGACTGTGGCTGAAGCTGACAGCAAGGAACATTGTCCAAATCT